TGACCTTGTTGACACAGGGAAAGCCTAGAAAGTCTCTGGGCCTCTCTCTCCTCTCTCAGGAGCAAACGGTCTGTCCTCTCTGCTTTGCTCAACACGTCTATTTCACAACCTCTTTTCAGAATCACTTGGCTGTATTCACTCGTGGTTTCTGCTGCTCGGTGACATGGCACATGTGGCCATGCCGGCCAGGAGTCTGGTTTCTCACCTCCTAACGCTTCCAGCTGATGAGCTACTAGGCTTTCTCTCCACTTCCAAATCCCCAAGTGTCCAGGGTAGACTCTGCTTGGTCTTGCTCATCTTTGGTCCACTTGCCTGAGGGTCCGGGGATGCAAACAGCTATCATTTGTGTGTTGGATCCAAATTACCTGACTGTGGAGGGCATGGCCCGTCGGGGGAGACTTCTCTGGAAGGGAGAACAGGCCAGCTTATGCCTTGGGTATGCAATGAGACTCTGTGTTCCCAACCGAACCAGAATTTCTCAGAAATACCTGGGAAATAAGCTTTACCCTGCTCCGTGGTGTTTCTCTTGGATTTTACCCCAAAGAGAAGATTTCCTGGACAGGGTGCTAAGGAATGTCAAGTACATTCTTCAAACATTTAGCTGGCAAGGCTTCGTAAACACGGGGCAAAAGAAAAAATGCAACACCTGAAGTTTGCCTCTAGATCTTAACACTTTCAGGAGCAAATGCTGCATGAGGCCTGTAGGGCTGGTTTAGGGAAGGTAGAGAAGAGAGCCCAAGAGTGATGCTGGGACCCCCCAGCTCTGTCGCAGGCCTGGGGTGAAGAAAGTCCTCTCTGGATACTGGAGATGGCTTCGATGTCCTTCGGCATTACCATTACCAATAATTTGGGTACTAAAGTTTAGCAATTCACTTACTAATTTAATACTTTTATATAAGTATGATATCTCCCTTTGGCTTCCCAGAAACAAAAGCACTGTCCTAGGTATCTGTGGGGGACATGGCAAGCTGGGGGTGTCAGTGCAAGGAACGGATGTCCCTGAGCCTTGTTGAGATGGGGACCAGGGAAATGATTCCAGATATGTTCTGCCACCACCACCACCAGAGACTCAGCCCTAAAATAATGGTCCTGCCCCAAGAGTGGTGCAGAGGTTCCCGGGTCCAGCAGAGCTGGGAGCGAGGTGGAGCCGTGGCTCTTTTATGGAGGAGATGTCCTGTGATAGAGAACGCTGCTTCTTATCAGAAGATGTCTGTAATTAATTAATTAATTAATTGGTTTTGGGCACTGGGGATTGAACCCAGGGGTGCTTGACCCCAGAGCCACATCCCCAGCTCTTTTTATACTTTTATTTTGAGATAGCGTCTCCCCACGTTGCCCAGACTGACGTCAAACTTGCAATCCTCCTGCCTCAGCCTCCCGAATCGTTGGGGTTACAGGCAGGCACCACTGCGCCTGGCCACTTGCTTTTTCAAAAAGTGATGCACAGACATGTCCGCATCTGCTCGGGTGGACACGTATGTCTATGTCCATGTATTAAACCCGACAGAACACACGCCTGCACCTACTTCAATACCTACGCATCTGTATCATGATTTTGTAAAAAATGTGGTCATCGGAGCCAAAATGACTTGCCATCCCGCTTAATTCCTAAAATATTGGCCCTGGACGATCTCCTCGCTTTTGTAAAGAGAAACGGCGTGAAGATGAAGTGCCCGAGGTCAGAGAACAAGCAATGGGAGAAGAGAAGCAAGGTCTCCCACCTTCCAAGACCGCCCTCTCCCTTCCTCCCCTCTACCGTGAGACCAGGGCCTGGGGCCAGGGCCAGGCAAAGGGACAGCTGCTAAGCTCCCTGGGCAGGAGGTGCACAGGAGGCCCAGTAAGGGTTGTGTCCAGGCCTCTTCCTACCTTGTAGGAAGCAGGTAATAACCCTGGGACCACCCAGGAACAGGTGGCCCTGGGGGTCTCTGTGTGCTTAAAGGGGGGATGGGGCATTTCTGTCCACTCAGCGTTCTTAGAGACTGGCTCAGTGCTTGGGACAAATGGAGCTCCAAAGATATGTGCTGAACCCACTTTTTGTTTAGGTGACTTTCAAATGTTGTGGCGTGGGCACGTATTATTTTCTTTATGTGTTTCTGCTGGGCTGGAACTGGGCCGCCTCACCCATGCTAGAAAGCCACCCTCCCAGCCCTGAGGGGCGTATTTTTAAATTGCAGCCTGTCCCCTGTCCGACGGCATGGGTAAGTGAATGAAGGTTTGAAGACCAGGTTTTATGACCGGGAGAAGGAGAGAGTGCGGAATCACTGGGTTCTGGGAATAAGGATTAAAAAGGGGAGTTGGAAAAATACAGACCAGCAGACAGTAACGCTGAGCATTGATGTCAAGTGCCACACTGTTCGTGTCTGGACAGTTCTGTCCTGTCTCCGGGCCTCTCTCTGCAGCTGAGCCAGTGTCCCGGAGGCCATGCAGACCCACTCTCACCTTCCCTTGAGTTTGCCCATCTCTTGTTTCCCCTGAGTTAACAGCCAGGTCCTCTTGCCTCAAATGGCCTTCATCCCACCATCGGTCACTTGAGACCAAGTTGTATTCTTATCCCTCGAGCAGCCACTGCTGTGCCGCAGAACCTATCCTCACACACCCCGGCACTGATCTGCTGGCCCACTGAGACCTTCAGCCCCTTCCTTAGTTCCAACCTCTGTTCACCCTGTTGTGTTCCCAGTCCTTGATGTTTCCTTGGGCCAGGCTCTACAGATACATGTTTGTTATGTTCCATTATCTCAACAGCCTTGTGAAACAGTGGGCACTTGTTCTTCTAGGTGGGGAAACTGAGGTTTCCGAGTAGATGGTGGGGTTAGAATACAAGTTTTCAGTTGCCCGACAACAAGGACGCCAGCCTCTGTCTTGCCCCGTGAATTCTTAAATGGCTCTTCGTTAACACCAGGAAATGACCAGTGGTGGCTCTCCAGTAACCTCAACCCGCTCAGATCTTTGGCTCTCTTCAGCCTGGATGCATCCTCCCCGACTGGTATCCGGCCAGGTGCCTCAGACCTCTGCTTTCCTGCCAGGGCTTAAGTTGCATCAGTAACTTTTGGGAGTCTTCTTTGCATCTAGGAATATGGGTTTCATCAGTTCAAGAACTGAGCTGACATTTTGAAATGAAATGTGGGACAAGGGGTTTCACAATACAATGATGTTGTGAGCAAGAGTTAACTTGGGGAAGAGAAAGTCTTGGCTTGGGAGGTCCATTTCAGCATCCTCTGAACCCAGCTCCTGAAAGAGAGGTACAGTGGCTTCTCGTTAGGGTCCGGGACTCCCAGTTTTCAGCTGGACTTAGAAGCCTCACTCTCGGGACAACGTAGAGGGATTCTGGAGAAAGATGTGCGGGTCCTCACCAACACGTGCATCCTCAATGGCACTGTTAGATCAACCTTCCTACGAGGAAGGAGTCCTCTTCTCATTCACTAGCCCCTGCCCTTTCCTGGGTCCATCGGCAGGAGTAACAGGCTTGGAGGCATTTGGGCAAAACTCAAGAGCAGATTTCTACTCCAGGCTGTGGGAGTCACGCTCCAGTATGGCTCTCAGGTCCCGAGTGCTAAGGACACCTTCAGGCAGTGTGTCTTCTGCTCAGTGCTGCCAAGTTTCAAGCAGGTTAAGGAGGAGTAAAAAAAGGGGTCCAAAAAAGAGCAGGACAAATGAAGAGTCGCAAAGGCAGGGTGATCTGAGGAGCGTGACAGCTACCTGTGGGCCTGGGGGTGGCAGAGGGAAGAAACGGGTGCCTCAGGTACCACGGGCCAGGCAGGCTCCTCCCCCGGAGCCCCACAACATCCCAGAGACTGATGTTATCCCTGGGCTTTGCCACAAGGCTTGGAGAGAGACTGGCCCTAGGTACTCGGCGTGTTGGCAGCAGGACCGGCTCTGATGGACCATGCTCCCTCCTCTGAGGATGGTAGTTCCATCTAGCTCCATCCATTGCAAATGGAAGGGTTCGTGATTTAGATTTGGAATTCAATCGAGGAGAAGGGATTCGGGAAACTCAGTGATCCAGAGTTTTATGGGCAGGCAGACCTGGTTTCAGATCTAGACTCTGCCAACATTTTCCTGTTTACTAGTACTTAGACAGCCAGTTTTGAGCCTCATCTGTCCTGTCCATTAGAGATATGAAGATTGAATGTGATAAGTATAAATTGTAAGCAATGCTTAACATGGGAGACGGGTCTCATAACTGGCAGGCATTATGAATATTGGCGTCTTCACTGAGTTTGGGCTTTGTGAGGGATTGCCTCATCTTAGGAGTATACTTTTGAGAAAATCAGCAGCTCGGGAGGCTGAGGCAGGAGGATCGTGAGTTCAAAGCCAGCCTTAGCAAAAGCGAGGCACTAAGCAACTCAGGGAGACCCTGTCTCTAAATAAAATATAAAATAGGGCTGGGGATGTGGCTCAGTGGCCGAGTGCCCCTGAGACCCGCCCCCCCCCCAAAAAAAAACCCATGTGGTGTGCTTTTATGCCATGGTAAACTTGAAAAATTGTATAGGTCAAACCCTGGGAAGCTGGAAGCCCCCTGTATTCTGTTGCAAAGGATTTCAACCTTATCCCTTCTGGCTTTCAGATCTCAGAGCTGGACTGGAGGAGAGGGTCTGGGAGCCCAGGCCATGTCTTCCTCCACCTTTTCCTTCAGTGAAGTGGAGCAGGGCCCTGCAGGTGCAGATGATTTCTTCCCTGGGTCTCCAGCTGGCTTAGGGAACCAGGGGGTGCATCATGCAAAATGGCTTCTCTGAGCCAGGCCACAGGGGGGTGGGGGGTGGCTGGCTGCAGGCAGGGGCCATGCATGCTGCTGTCTCTGAGTGGACTACAGCCCACTGGCTAGAGTGCTGACCAGCCTCCCATGAAGGGGGAACAGGCAGCATCCCTGGGCTGCAGTGACAGGCTCCCCTCGGCCTTCCCTGTTAGGAACCCCACAACAGCTGGAGCTGGAAGACCATCCAAGGCAATGCCTTTGGCTGTCGATAGACGAAGAGGAAAAAATGAACGAAATCCAGAAAGGCTTCCACATTGGAGCGGTTTCACTTGTCCTTCTCTGGAGGATGCAAATATATTAAAAACATATGCAAATCCAATGACAATTTGTCATTAAACAAAAAAATTTACATGGAACAAATGAACATTCACTTCCAACAAGAGCACCCCACGGATTTCACGTGAGTCCTCTCGTGGCCATCAGGCCAAAGCTCCGAATTCAAGGTGCTGTGGAAACGTCTTGCAGTGTCCTCCGTCTGGCTTGGCTGGTTGGTCTGGGAAGAAGAAATCTTGACTGGCCTGGTCTTGTTGATGCTCGGGGCCCCTGGCTGTTATTATTATTTTTTTTATTTTTATTTTTCACTTTGCAGCCTCAACTACCATAGGAGAGTTCTCAGGCTCCAGACTGGGGTCAGGGTGGGGTATTCCAGTCGTCCAGCTCAAAATTCAGCGCGAACCTGGATGGAATGAAAGAGGAACCGCCAAATCTGACCTCCCTGATCCCAGATGTGGCCTCTTTTATGCCTGCAGCCCCCCCCTTCCCGCCGCCCCTTTCTCTTAGCTGGGCTCCCTCTTTATTGACACTGCCCCCTGTAACTACCCTGGTAGCAACTGAAGCCCCAGGGTGGCAACCCCCTCACCCCACTCCCGGGGTTCTCTGGACACTGCTCCGGCAGGCTGGGGGCTGTCGAGGAGATTCGATTGTCCCAATGGAGGTGAAGTGGCCTCTGAGGCCCCTTGGAAGCGGTGGTGGTGGGAGGCGGCAGGCTGGCCGGAGGCTGACTGTGAATGTAGCGGCTCATTGTTCCTCAGCTTTATTCTTCAGGCCTCGATGGGGCTGATTTAGAAATCCTAATCAGAGAGCTCTCAGGGCTTCCCGGGTGTGACACAACTTGAGCAGCTCTGGGGGATTCTTTGTTCTCCGATGACAGCTGACTTGGTCGCCAGTGGGAACAGTTTGAGCATGACTCTACCCTGCTACCCTGCGTGCTGGCAGCTGCGGCCTTAACTCTTTGTTACCCGCCCCTGCGGTCCCTCCTCTTGCCTGATCCTTCCTCCTAAGGAAGGACAGCTCTCGAAATCACCTTCCTGTGGCTGCAGGAGGAGGGGGTGGGTGCCTGAGGAGGAAGGCCACACCCCGTGTCCCACGCTGGGGACACTCTTGCAAAAAAATCAAGTGTCTCCCTCTCCGGCCAGTTCTACTTGGCCAGCCATGAAAGCTGTGGGGTCTGAGTCTGGCGTGGACTGTGACCACTTGCCACTCGCTTTTATTTCTGACCTGGCGCAAGTGACCAGAAAGAAGCTAAAGGATGCAGATTTTAAATACAGGCTCACATTCTGGGTCTTTGATCAAAGACAGCCAAGCAGCACAGGACACCTAATAAGAAGACCACAGAGGGATAAAAAAAAAAGCATAAGAGTGATGGATTTGGAGCCAGAAGACCTGAGCTGGAACTGGAGCATCCCCACGTGACCAATCCCGGGCAAACTTTTTTGTCTCTGCAGGCCTCCGTACATTCATCTGCGGAAAGGGAGACGTTTACAAGAGCAGGACCCCAGCAGTTCGAATGGGCTAGTTCATGCGAATGTCTGTCACAGGCACTGCTAAACTAAATGCCCAGGGCTCTTGCTGTAACTCCATAAGCCTTCTGCACAGGAAGAGCGCTGCTGCTTCGGGAGGCAAAGAAGTGCTAAAAGCTGGGAAAATCTCCTAGATCAAATTGTTAGGCAATTTTTTTTTTTTTGGTTCTGAGTTAGAAATATAGCCAAATAAATTATTCATTCAAGAAACTTTGAGTGTCAGCAACGACCTAGGTACTGTGGATCATGAAGATGACATAGACCTGGCCTCCGGGTGCCAAGATGATAAAAGTGGGTGTCTAGTTAGGACTGTTGGGACAAACACAGATGCACAACTCTGACCTGCATAAAAGAGACCCTGAAAGGGAGAAATACTGATACTGTTGCAGCTCATGGAGTCCAAGGAAGTGTTGATCAGCAGCACCCCTGGAAGGGGAAGGGTGTAACTTTGCTTCAGGTCCACTGGTACCCCAGAGTCCAGCATGACCAGGCCGCCCTTCTGGCTCTACTTCTCTGTTTGCATCCTTCTGTCTCACAGCAGGTTTCTGCCAAGCACAGTGGACACACATGTGGGAACCATGCCGGTCAGCAGTGCAGACGAGGCAGTCTGCTGACCACACCTTGGCCGAATGCCCAAGGGTCTTCTCATCCAAACATTGTCAATAGGGTTGGGGGCTTGGGCCATTTCTTTTTTTTTTTTTAAAGAGAGAGAGAGAGAGAGAGAGAGAGAGAATTTTAATATTTATTTTTTAGTTTTCGGCGGACACAACATCTTTGTTTGTATGTGGTGCTGAGGATCAAACCTGGGCCGCACGCATGCCAGGCGAGCGCGCTACCGCTTGAGCCACATCCCCAGCCCCTTGGGCCATTTCTTAAAAGAGTTTCTGGAGAGAAAACTGTAGAGGAGACTACCATGGGAGCAAGGGCCATATAGGCAGGGGGTTTGGATTTCAACTCTAGACCAGAAGGAATCATGAAGAATATAAGCCAAGGAACACGTGGCCATATTTATATTTTCCAACTATAAAGTTGCAAGCAAATGGAAATGAGGGGGATGATTTTGGAGGTGGTGAGACCTATCAGACCTATCGATAGATTCTATAACAGCCTGAGCATTAGCTGATAAGAACCTAAAGTCAGGTAAGGAATAGCAGAGGTGGCCAGAAGGAGGCAGATGAGAGATTTAGGAGAACCCGCTAACTTTATATTGGAGGGAAACATAATATTAATTTTCTCTCTCTCTCTCTCTCTGTTTTTTTCCTTCAGTGCCTGGATGTCCAGGAGATGCCCTGGCTGCTCTTCGGCTCTGCTGGGCATGAAGCCCAAGACCTCACACGTGCTAGGTGAGTGCTCTACCACTCTGAGCTGCATCCTCAGCCAAGAGGGAAATATCGAGGATGGTCCCTAAGCCTCCATTTGGAAAACATGGACTATTGCAATGGCTGTCCTTGACTGTATTTTTTTTTTTCTGATAAATTGGTGGTTCAGCAAACCCCCGCCCCCAGAGATCCATAACTATATTTATATCTTTGCATCTTCTATCGTGTATCATTTATCTTCTATCCCCTATCTTTTACCTATCCTTTGTCGGTCTGTCACCTAATCATCTATCTATCTGAAGAATGAAAGGCTTGTTTGGGTCCCCAGGACAGAGATGACAAGACAGGGACAGGAAACCAACAGAACGGTGACTGCTTTCCGCTTGGCCCCAGACGCAAGCAGCTGCAAAAGCTCAAAGTCAGAAATGAGGTTCACGTAGGTGACGCCGCCGTCCCCAGTCGGGGAGATGGAATACTCCCACCGCCTCCGGGCTAGAGGGCCCTTGAGGATAAGGGACACTCAGCAGCCTTCCTAGGCCAGCAGCAGCGGGAGTGAGAGGACCCCAGGCCCGTCCTAGAGGGCATGTTCTGGCTGCTCTTCTGCTCCTTCCAGCCCTGTCCAGAGGAACTTGGCTGTTTTCCATCCTGTGAACGATTTTAACTGGAAATAAAAAAAAAATAGGTTCTGTTGAAATTGTATCATGTTTTCTCATGAATGGGGGTAAAATGGAAACCAGGGAGACTGGCTTAGAAGCAGTTGATCCTGATTAAGTGAGAAGTCAGTGAGGCCCCAAAGTCGGCAGCCGTAGAATGGAAAAGTGGAGGTGGAGTGAAACACGGGGAAGAGGTGGGCTCTCACAGGCCTGCAAGTTGCCTGCAGGGGCAGTGGAAGCCAGGGACAATTATGACTTCCTAATCTGGAGCCTTGGCCAAGGAAAATGGTGGTTCTATTGACGGAATTAGTAGAGTTGACAAGTGGACGTGGTTTGGTTTGCAACTCAATGATTCCAAGGCCCATGCAAGTCCTTATTTGAGGGGAGAAGAAAAGAAATAAAAGGTCTATGTATTAGACCTGGGACAGGTAAACCCAAGACACTAGAAGTGGCCTTCCACCAGGATCTGTGCCCATGAAGATTATAGGCCAGGGTGACTGACCAGTGCTGTTAGGGTCTGGATCTGGAATGTTTCCCCAAAGCTCCTGTGTTGAAAGTGTGGTCTCCAAAGCAGCAAGGTTCAAAGGGGGGGGGGTGCTTTTAGGCAGTGATTGAATCATGAGTTGATGGATTAATCCACTGATTAAAACAAATAAAATTTAAAACTCACTGAGAACTGGCTGGGACTACTAGGGACGGGACATGGTTGGAGAAAGTTGGTCACGGGGGGATGTCCTGGAAGGGGGCTACCTTTTCCCTGGTCCATTCCTCCCCCAGCCCTCTATTTCTATCTCCCCACCCCTGCTTCCCTGCTGCTATGAGGGGAGCAACTCTCCTCTGCCGCCCCTTCCCACCATGATGGTGTGCCTCACCAGAATAGCAGATCTGGCCAACCATGGACTGAATCCTCTGAAACCATGAGCCCACATGAATCTTCCCTCTTCTAAGTTGTTTTGGTCACAGCCACGAAAAGCTAACAAACACAAATGCTACTGGAGAACATTCTTGGGGAAGAGTGTTTAGAACTAGTTGATATGATACAGATGAGTGTTCTTTCCGGTGAAGTCTCCAACTCCCATCCATTCCTCCATCCATCCACCTATCTACCCATCTCCATCATCTACCATATCTATTATCTGTCTATGTCTATCATCCTCTTTCTGTCCATCCAGCCAGCCAGCCAGCCAGCCATCACTTCAGGAACATCTCCAGGTTTTTTGACTTTTCCCTTTTGGAGAGACTAAGAACAATGCCCAAGTTTATTCCTGAAGTATCAGAATAGTACCAATAAGTCATAAAACTCCCCCAAAGAACATTTGCCACAACTTCTCAGTACTTTTGCTGTGGAACTGGTCAGAGTAACTAGCAAGCCTTTTTGCAGACTGATGACCTAGTTAATGCTTCCTTTTCAGTCAAATGGTAAATAGTTTAATTCCAGTGGAATGTCTAAGAATCTTTCTTGGCACTAGTCTTGGGATTATCTACATATTATTCATTTCAAATGTAAATTCCTTATTTTCTGGATGGATTGAGCCCCTTTGACATCTTTCTTTCACAGTGATCCATATTTTATGTTCAGAGAGTGAAAATTCGTTTACCATCAGCCTTAGCCGAAGTTGAACCTGTTTTCCACAGCGCATGTAATACACTGCCATCTAACACACACATCCTGCCCCTCTGCCCTTCTAAAAGGACTTCTAGGAGCTGACTGTGCTTAGATTCTTTTGGTCAATGCTTCTGTAGCCTCCCTAGCCTACTCTGTGGAGAGGAGATCTCATTTATCACCTCCATCATCAGGGGTTCAAAACTTACTTTTGTTAATCATTAAGAGTAAAATCACCAAACTGATGACTATTTTAGTAAATGTATTGGTTAGACTCTTTTATTATTTAAAAAAAATCAAAACTATTTATTGGGACTCTTTACTTAAAAATTAAATTAGTAAACAAAAAGCCTACCTCATACTGACTTAAAAAATAGAGGGGGTTTATTGGTTGATGCTATTGGAAAGATAATGGATTAAGTGGCATTCAGGGTTGGTTTGATCCAATAAACAATTAAGTCACCGAGAATTGGGTTTTGTTTTGTCTCTGTGTTCTGTATTTATTGGTGCCACCTTTATCTTCAGGCTAGCTTCTTTTAGAATGGCGACATAGCCTATGCACTAGGTCTGTTATCTTTCAACCTTGCTGGTCACGAACGAGGAGGCAGGTTGGGGTTGCCTTCTTTAACAAAGTAGAAACTTCCCTTCATAGAAGCCCTAGCAAGCCTGCCCTCAGGAGTCAGATGAGGAAATGGCATGTGACCATTGGCATAGCCTTTATTTACCCTAACCAATCACTGAGGCAGGGGTGTAGGCATCCCATCTCCGATTGGTTCAGCCTTGCAAATTGGTGGAGTCACTCTCCCGTTAAACCCAGGACAGCTATACAGTGGGAGAAAAAGAGAAGAGTTCTTGGAGGTTTAGCTGTAATTTGGACTATAGTAAGAATCTGAATTTTTTTTTCAGTATTCAATGAAATGGCATGTTTTGAGTGTTTTCTATGTGCAAAAATACCCTCATCTTGACATTTATGATTACTGAAAATAACAAAGACCTGGAAATATGGAGCCAATGAACAGGCTGAATTTGCCCAGATTTTTTGTGGGCTGCCTGTGGAGTTACAAGAATCATGATGGATACCTAGACTTTGAACAATTCAAATGGCTGAGTTTCAAAGCACTGAAGTAGGAACATATTTGCATTAAAAAGAAGTAAGAGTTACTGGGAAGTTCCTTCCTTCCCTTCCTCCTATGTGTATGTTTGATAACAGCTGTTTTGGGGGAAATTATCTCCACTAGACCTGTTGGGCTGTGGTACAATTCCAGTTAATATTTGACTGTTGGTTTCCTGTTGCTCAGAAAACTAGTAGTGAACAATAAACCACAATATAAGTTGTCTCCTCTTCTTTCTCTCTTCAACTTTTAAGTCTCTGCCCTTTTAAAGGGATACCTTACTGCCTGTAAATCTGAAGGATATATTCACAGTTTGTTCCAAAGGGTGGGAATGGGAAAAAGAATCTTTTGGCAATAGCGGATCCTTTTTGCTTATTTTCCAAAGGGGTAGGAGAAGTGCTGGCGATCAAGTTTCTGGAACATTCTGCCTGGTTTCATGGCCTCTTAAGCATACACTCAGCTGCCCACCTTCGAGTTTAAGTGGGTTTACAGGTAGATGAGAAAATTAGGAATGGAATTTGATAAGAGATTTGATGAATAATGTCCATGTCTCAGTGTTGGAACTCCTAGGGGAAGAAAAAATGAGGCCTCCGGCCCAAGGACAATGTCCAGCTCTGTACCTTAGTCCCTGGTTCCCCGTCTCACCCTCAGCTTACTGAAGGATCTTGCTGATACATTTGGTCTTCCCAAGCACCTGGGTCCACCAGACTATCCTTTTGGGACACTTCCTGATCTCCTGGCTTCGGCTGGCTGGTGTCTCCATGGTAACGGAGAGTGGGGAGGGGACGTGGGGGCAGCTCAGTCCATTTGTCATCAATTGCCACTGTTTTGTTCCGCCTGGTGTGTGCTCTCAATTGTGTCCTGGAGGAGGCAGAGCAGAAGAATTCAGGAAGCGGCTGCTCCTGCCCTCTGAGACTGGGGCTGGGGGCGGGGGACCGATAACCCAGGGCCCTGCCTCAGAGAGAGCAAGGCCTGGGGGCTCCGGCAGAAGGCTCACCTTCCTGGGAGAATGCTTTTCCTGTACCTCCGATTCTGTTTCAGGAGGGAAGGTGGCGTTAGGGAAAGTAAAGCCCAGAGACCTTTACTTTCATGTTGAATGAAGAAGCAGGAAATTCAGACGCAGCTTCCCCATGATACAGACTAACCGGCTACCTTTCTTATTCTGGGTTGACGTTCTGCTTAAAAACACCCTGGTGTTTGGGCTGCTCTTCTCTGCCTTCACCAGAGCAGAGCTGAGTTCTCGCTTTACGTGGCCCCGATCTGTAGGCTGTGCATTCATTTCTGTCACTCAAAAAAAAAAAAAATCGCCCCATTTGGCTTGAGCAGTTTTGAGCCGGGAGCTGGTGGGGAACATTTCCGGTTGGCTTGGCCCGTGAGTGTTCCCTTTTACCACCGTCCTGGGCCAACACTCTTCCTTTGGCTTCACTTCCTTTTGTCCTTGGTAAAGGCTCAGCCCAAGTTGCCCCACCCCCGTGGCAGGTGGGTCGATGTCCCTGCTGCTTTCTGAGAAGAGCTCAGGGGGGCGGCCCAATCCAGTGGCACCTTCTCCGCCTGTTGGTGATGTGGCCTCCTCCTTTCAGCTTCTCTTTTCCTGCTGCTTCCATCATGGGGAAGGCGCCTGGTTCTCTTCCTTTCTCTCTGGTAAATCTCTCTCCCTTATCCTCCTTGCTTTCTGGTCTCCTCCCATTCTAACCGTGGGGACTGCCCAAGTGTCTTCCCTTGACCTCTCTCTTCTCATGGCGATGCTCCTCGGCCGCCGCAGGCCTGGGTTCAAGCCCGTTTCTGGCCCAGATCGCAGCTCTGTGGGGGTGTGCACGGTCCAACTATTCAGAACAAATTGGGCTTTCTCTTAAAATCTCCCTGCTGCCTTTATCCTCCAGCACCGTCAGCCTCTCTGTCTTTCCAGCCCAGACTCCGAATCTTTGTGTCATCTCTAATGACTCCCTGGAGGACGTGCCTCTCCCCTGCCTCGTCCCCGCCCCCACCATCCACGCAGCCCACTCCCCTGCTCTTTCTCCTTCCCTCAGCTGGACCGGAGCGTTGGGCCAACTCACGCTCTGCTCAAAAACATTCATACCTCTCCCATCCCTGGGAATCAGAGTCCATCTTTGTTTCAAGTCACTCAGGGTCCTCCCAGACATGGCCTGCACCCTGTCACTCTGGCTACACCCTACTGCTAGTATGTTGTTGGCTAAGCCCTCAGACTTCTGGCCATGGCTGCCTGGGCTGCACAGAGGCACGCCTCCAGGTGTTCTGACCAACTGAGCTTACTTCCAGGAATTTATCTTAAGGTAATAATCAGACAGCCACACAAAGGTATGCTCAGGAGTGTCGTCACTGCATTATTTGTGATGACATAAAATGAAAGAGAAAATACCATTGTCCATTATTACCAACACAGCGGAACACCAGGCAACCGTTAAAAAACAACATACACCGATTGGCTGACATGCAAAGCTATTGCCAT